ATTATCTCTTACAGTGGATTGTTGAGTCTCTTTTAGATCATTAGTTGATGTTATAGTACAGTATGAAGTCGATAGTTAAAACCCTTAACAACTGACTACTGGAAAGGTGTGTGGTATTGTAAGGATAGTTAGTAAGATAAATCAATAGATGACTTGGTTAATGCATGCCAAGATCGTGGTATACCTATACCCAAGCTATGGTATACCTGATGATGATACTAGATTTTTCTAGTTTAAGTGGTGCATCCGAGAAATCATGTTGTAGGGATTGGTATCACAATTTGTTGTTAATCTAACAAATGTAAAAAGATCGGTTAGTTCATTAGGGTCAAATTATTTAGATTCTTCACCTTGGTATAAGAGATATTCGTAGATGAATATGTAACGATGCATTAGTTGAGGTGTATGCATATAATGTGTTATTTTGGTGAGTTTTCATATGCTATATGATGTTGTCTATTGGATTGCATGGTTGTGGCGTAAGTTTGATATGCTTAAATTGCTTATCTTTCAAACTTGTTTGATGCTGAGTTGTTGTGGTGTTGAAAGTGTTATAATCCATGAGGTGATATTGTGTATGGTTTACATGTTGGTGATTAATATAGATACTTTTATTCTATATTTGTATCATGTTGTATTTTTTTTAACACTAGCTTACCCTTACGTATTTTCTGATGGTGTACTGCGATGATCATGTTTACATGGGAGTAGGTTAAGGTTAGTTGAAGGCATGTTATGGTTTTTGCAAGGCCATGATGGTGGATGACTTGCTGCAGTTTTAGTATGATTACTCTAATGTAACTAGTTGTATAGATATTGTTTGATCGACAATATAGAATTATATTTTATTGTTTTTGGATTACTATATAGTCATGTGTATATGTATACGCTTTTTCTATTGTAATTGTGCACATATATGTATATGTGTATATTGTCTCTTTCATATCTAGAAACTACCTATGTATTAATTTTAGGTAAATATATTTTATTTATCTCATTGATCATCGACTCCATTAAATGTAAGGACTATAAGAATGACTAAAATATCAATAAAGTTAATTCTGATTTTTAATTTTTTGATCCGTTAATAAATAGAATTTAAATATTAATTTTTTATGTTGGTGGGACATTTATCTTGTGGGGTAAATATTGATATGGACCTAATATGACATTTTGTAGATGACTAGGTTTTTTCTTCAGCAATGGGTCCGCCTAGGATTCTGCTCTTTTATAAATAGATAAAAAGAAATAACCTTTCGTCGTAGGAAAGAAACACACGGAAGATATTAGCAGACATATCATATTATAAACAACTAATATTTTTTGTGATCAATATATAATAGCATTGATGCTACTAAAATTTACCTCATGTTTGGAAGATACAGTGGGAGGTGTAAGATTTAATATCTCTAATAGTTCTTTAACTTTATTAGTAGTTCCAACTTCCAAGTTCATACTTATCTTAAGAAGAAGAAGAAAGCCTTGTGAGCAAAGAAGAAAATTCATACTTATCTGTTTGACTCAGGAGTAATCCCACAAAATAACTATAATAAATTAATAATTAATGACACTACCACACAATATCCCACAAAAGAATACAGTGACCAAAGAAGAAAGATCCATACTTATCTGTTTGACTCATATATAACAATTTGTCCCACAAAATAATTATAATGATCAATAACAACACACAATAACAAGGCAAACAAGAAAAATAAATTCAAGACTATGTCTGTTTCTTAGGAATAAAAAACTTACGACAGCCCCAACTCATTGATATTAATGTGTGGTCCTTCGTCCTCTCTACCTTTCTCTCTCTTTTTTTCTTTCCTTTTTTATATTTTACTTTTTCTTTCTTTCTTGTTATAGTTAGTGGTAAATTAAATATTCTTTTCTCTTATAGATGGTACCAACAAAGTAAAAGTTCTTATATAAAAATAAATAAATAAAAAAACAAAAGCAACCCAAGTGTCATGAAAAATGTGGTATAAAAGTATTATCAAACTTCTTATAATTAATCTGTTTGAAGATCTGGATAATCATCTTAATATATAGAATTTTCTTTCTTAATTACATTTGTTTTATAAATAAGACTCGAATATAAAGTTTTATTTTAAAAAATCAAATTTATTATTATTTAAATCAACCATTTGTTGATAATTTTTTTTTTTTTACATATATGATATAATAAAGGAGTTGTTATAAATAAAATTGACTTATTAGATAATTTAATGGAAAAGTTTTGTTCTTAAAAGTAATTAATCAGTTTAAGATATAATGAATCTGAAGGCAGAATCTTCATATGCTAATTGAACTCCAATAGCTCGTAGAGCCAAGTCTTACTTACAAACCGTATCTTTAATTAATTATTTTGTTACTATATTTTAACTATAAAAAAACCTACATGGACGGCTACAAAAACACCCCAATATTAAAGCGTGAAGGCATTTAGACTTTCACATAGTGTAGTTACTGTATTACAAAAGGCTAAAATTGACTTGTGATATATTTTGGTTAAAATTTTTAAATGGTCTAATTTAATTACTGTACCAACTGCTAGAATAATTCTGAATGAATGTGACATAACTAGTTAACTAGTATGCACTGGCTTCAAGGTTTCATACTCTAAAATGACCTTAACTTTCAAATTTGCCTTTTCATAATTAATATAAGTAACATTCTCCGTATGTAATGCAATTATGTCGGGGTTCATGTGCTAGTTGGGAAACAAGCGTGAGTTAATATTAATTGATCCACTGAAAAGGGTACACAGTATATATAGTTGACTCTATTTTATGGTCAAAATTAAAATTGCTTTAACTATACTAATTACAAGTATGATATGAATTAGCTCTTTACTCTACATACTTTGTCTCTAAAAGTATAGATTAGTTGTGATTTGTGAAAATTTTATATGATAAAAGCATGAAGGAAATCTATGATTGACCACAAAGTTACTAGCCAAACAGACTTCTTTTTTTCCTAGAGTTAATTTCTGCTTTAAAAAAAGGCAACCGTTTCTCTAATTCCAGCTAAGCTAATTATGACACTTAATACACTGTTAAATAGATTATTTGTTTAATATAACATCTATAATAATATTTTATCTGTGTTAAAAAATATATTTATTATTTTTAAATATAAAAAAATTTAACTATTTTTTATCATTTAATGATTTTTTAAAAATATTTCTCCTATGATTTTTTAGTTATATTATTTCTATTGACATTTATAATAAAAATAAATTAGAAAGAATTTTAATATAAATAATCATCTTTGCGTAGAATCAGTTATTTTTGCATATAATAATAGGTGGTGTGGTATATAATAATAAAGTTCAACAAAATTTACATAATTAATTAAATCATTTTGTTCTAATTAATTAGGATCTGATATCGAGTTTAACTTTCCTTGTGCAAACTTGTGCTAGAGATAAATAGACTATACATAACCCATTAGAAATTTTTTGTATAAAGTTATATTTTGTTCTAATTTTAATTTTTTTTTTATAAATAATGATAATAAAGAAGGTTATTAACACAGGTTTAAAGAATACAATAATTATAAATAAAGTGTATATATGTAAAAAAAAAATTGTGTATAAAAACGTTCTCTTTTTTTTTTTTTTCATTTTCAGAATATATATAAAAGGCATATCTAATGTTTGTCATTTGTATCAAATTATGTTACTTTTCATTTATGAAGTTTAAAATTAAGAACTAAATTAATTAAGACTAATTAGTAAGATTGATTTAATTATAGAATTGATGTAGTATATATATATATATATATATAGTCTTGTATTAAAAAATATTCTAATTTTTATTAATAAAAAAATTAAATAAGGTTTCAACTTTCTGAAGAAAAAAAAAACAAATAAATTTGGTTACATCAAATGTAATTGTCAAGGTAGGAGCATGAACGGTTTGAGGTGATGAAAGCAACCATAAGAAGAACCCCAAGATTCTTGAATAAGCAAAATCTTGAATAGAAAAATGAGCCTAATGCTGCCCACCTCTCCCACGGGTTGATGGGTCAGGGACAACTCATGCACCCTCAGACTAAGTATGCAAACTCTTCTTGGGGACCACTTTTTAAATATCAAATGCACAGTGAACAACCCACTCCAACTTGCACTACTCACAATATAATATACAATAACAAGAAAATTAACAGTGAATAAACATTACCACTAATAGCTCCATTGCTGTTAAAATATTTATATTTGTTTGGCCACCTTCTCCCCACATTTTCTTGCACCCTCCTATATATCCTTTGTTTGAGAAACTTTAGATATCTAAAAAAAATGAAATAGAAAAACAAAAATATGGACATAAAATTTCATGAGAAATAGTAACAAACCCACATGAAAAATTATTGCTTGCTTGAAATCATTCTTTAACATACTCTTTAAATATAGTATTCAGTTAAAGTGGTATGTATAAAATTTTAGATTTTAATTTTAGTGTGATCATTGTAATTTTTGCATAAAAAAAATCATCTAAAAAATATTATCCAAATCTAATTCAATATAATTTACTTTTTAATCTAACGAATTTAATTTATTTATAAAAAAATGAACAATTATGTAAGATAAAAGTATAGTGTAACTGTCATTCATTTATTGAAATACTTCATAAAGTTATTAATTTCAAATTAACATTAAATATACTTCTATTTTTCACTTTACTCGATTATTTTAGGTTGGTAAGTCTCAATTCTATGCCATCATATGTTATGTTTTGCTGTTAGAGGAAGTGGCGAAATACTGACAAATACACAACAATTTATGTTACTAAAAATATGTAAAATATATGTATCATTGTGTGAAATACATTAAAAATATGCAAATTTTAAAAATGTAAATTATTATAAAATAATTTTAAAATGAATGACAAATTTATAAATAATAAAATATAGAAGAACAGAGTACTAAAAGGAGGCATCCATTTGATCCACCAATGCCAAAGACCATTGGTTTCTAGTTAACACATGTACGATTTCTCTTTGCCCCCTTTTCACTTTGCTTATTCTTTTCTCTTGAGCCTAAGTGTAGTGTGTGTTTTGTAAGTACCGACATCACTCCAACTTAATGGGGTGTTCATCTACTTCTTCGTAGAAACCGATGCTGCTACTCATTCTTCTGCTTTTACCACTCACTCTGAGAAGTGAGTGCTCTCTCTTTCTTTGTTCCTTCTTGTTGCAACTAAAGAAGGGTCTTCTCACTCAATCTATTGAACTAGACTTTCACTCTTGTGCTCTTTTTGCATGTCTTTTTCTCATCTTATCTTCACTTTCATAGCATTAAAGTTTTGAGTCTTTATAGCTTAGGCTCACTGGAACAATCTTAAACTTCTTTTTATGGAATTCTATTGACATGCTATGTAAATTAAAGTGTTGTTTTTTCATGTCTATTTTTCTTCTTCTTTCATTTCAGCTCATTTTTCTTGTTCATGTTGATGACCGGATAAAATCTGAGGCAGAGCTAAAGAGAATCTTGGTAGGTAGGCATGTCTCCTTGTTATTTCTCTTTGTTGAAAAATTGTTCTTTTAAGTGTCTTATTACTTGTCTTGAACTTGCTTATAGGAAGTAGTTTACTTTATTAACTGGGTGATAAGTCATTGTTTGGAGGCTATAGATGGCGATGCAAACTGCTTATCTGAAAGAACATGAAGGAATTGTTCACAATTCTGTTGGACAGTTGTCGGCTCCGTGGTGGAGTGCCTTTGGATCTCAATCAGTTTATGGGGAGTATTGTGGTCAAATCAAACCCTTTTCATTGGATATTTCCAATTGTGTAGAACAATTTTCTTCCGGTAAGCAAACTGTACGAGGAGTGGAACAATTGTTGGATAAAGGACATGCAACCCAATTTACCATCTTTCCAGGTATTTAATTTAGTTTTGGATGTATGTCTAAGTTTGAGTTGCATAACATGCTAGTCCTGTTTATACCAAATTACAATTTTATGTGAGTTGTGATACTTGTTGATGGGGTTATTTTATGGTATTTGTCTGAGGGAATATTTTATGAGGGTTATTTTATAGGGTTATTACACAAACATACTTCACAATGATGAGATATTGTCCGCTTTGGGCCTTAGCCCTCACGATTTTTCTTTTGGTCATTACCCAAAAGGCCTCTCTATCATTGAAGTATGTTTATGTTATATAAGTTGTTATTTCTTGTTTTATTTTATCGATGTGGGAGTTGTTTGTATCCCAACACTTGTAACTATACATAACAACTCATATAAGTTATTGTAACTTGATGTCTTGTGATACAGAAACATGTAAGTAATACAATTTGCCTGTGTCTATTTTGGAGAAATCTAAATCCAAGGAAGCTGCAGATTTGGGTGGCCTACCTTCTTTAAAAAATTAAAATATATTTTTGTGTGAACTAATTTCATTTTGCATGTCTGTGTGTATGGGGGTGTGTGAGAGAGACAGAGAAAGAGAATCCTAGTGGCACTGAAATTACTACTGAATCTCCTAACTAGTAGCTATGGATTTACTTGTGATGTCTAATGAGTTTATGGTCTTATATGTTGTAAAAAGATCTGTCTAAGAGAGCATTGTAGTAACAAAATAGGTTTGAATTTTGAGACAACTTTTTTTTTCAGTTACTTCTTATGGGACTTTTCCTTTGCCCCCATATCATGAGTATCATTGGCTAATATATATACTTTGGAAGGAAGTCTATTGAGATCTATTGTTATTATTGAGTTATCATGATATTGTGCCTATATGTACAGATACGTACAATATCATAACAAATCAATCTTAATAATAACAACAAAAGATCTCATAAGACTCAATAAAGTCAATAGAATTAGAAGTAACAGGCCAAGGTGGGGAAGGTAATTTGTCAAAATTATTCTCTGTCCTCATGGAAATTCAAAGTTGTAACATGCTAAACGAGGAATGCTAAGAATTAACAATCATTAGGACTGAAGTAACATCAATAAGATGCATTCACTTAGAGTTTTACACACATTACATGCACGGTTTATCATGAATGAACCAATGCCTTCATAGAGAATGATTCCCGCCCCACTCTTCTTTTCTTAAAAACTAAATGACCTTAAAAAGTGCTGATAAACAAACTATCAGAAGAAAAATTAAGTTCCATCACTCTTATTTAGAAGATAAAATGAGATTATGTATTCTACCCATAAAAACAAAGAGAGATTATGCAGAAATAAGGTCTTTCTACCTTCAAAGAAACTTGCATTTAATGTTCTACAATGATTTTTTTGCATGATTTCTAAATAAAAAATTTTGCTCTAGTCTCCAGTAGCATTTTTGGTTGCTTTAAATTTAAACTATAACAGTTTTTTCTCTTTTTAATTTTTGAAAGTGAGAAATTTTGCAGCATTCCACACTTAGAACTTTCATATGACTGATCAGACATTTCTTTTTCAGATGATAGTAAAATGTCGGGTGATGCACAAAATCCTCAGGCAACCTTATCACTGCAATCACCACTTGCTGAGCCCCACAATCGTTTTGAGATAGGGTTTAATCAGCCTATGGTAAAACTTCTCACAAAAATACTCTTGGTCGTGTTAGTATTTTATTTTTGACAGACATGATTTAAAATGATCGGCATGTTCTTCCCAGATATGTGCAAAATATCCTTACATGGATCAATTTTATGGGCTCTTCTCAGCTTATGGACCTCAAATTTCGGTTTGTCTTTACCTCAACTAGTTTCTCAATCTATCTAAACCATGCAATGCTTTCAACATGCTTATAGGGTGTATGCATACACAAGAAAACAAGAAATCAATACATACAGCTATTCATCCATGGTTCTGTGAATCTTATACAGCCTTTTAAAATATAATCAAGTGGAAGTGGATCGTGGAATATGTTATTACTGTGTTTATATGTCTGCATACCCAATATGTACATGATCATGTGGATGTGCAGTTAGACATGTTCAAAAAGGTTAATGAGTTTTAGGCAATAAGTTTGAAACAAATGGCAAAGTGAATAAGCTATTTCTTAGAGAAGAAAAAGATAACTCAATAAATTAAGAATGGTTCTAGTAATTTTTCACCTTGAGTAATGTCTTAACAAACCTATAATCATAGATTAATAAGTTCCTGTATATTTGTCAATATGCTTCATATATCCTGTTCTCATCTACTTGTAGTTGTGATTTTTGTGAATTAAAGCTAATAATTTTAAGAGAAAAGTAAGTACCATGTTATTCTCTGATACCAAAGCATAGGAGAGCAATATAAGTTTTATGTAAATTGAAAACATGTTAAGAGAAAAGGCTTTATAATTGAGAGAAAAGACAAACGAAATACAATGATTTTGGTTATGGATGTGGAAGGTGATAATATCAAGTTAATATTATTATGACAAATTAGAAAACAATTGAAATGCAATGAATTTATTGCCTTGACATTAAATTATAATTGAGAGAAAAGACAAAGTAACGAAATACAATGATTTTGGTTATGGATGTGGAAGGTGATAATATCAAGTTAATATTATTAAGACAAATTAGAAAACAATTGAAATGCAATGGATTTTTTGCCTTGACATTAAATTATACATTGCATTCTGTGTTGCAATTTATGTCTGTATTCATTTTCTGCTTTTAGTTAATATTTGTTTACCTGCAGTAAATATTTCACTATTTATTAATTTATATGTATCTGTATTCAATAAATTAGGGGCGTATAATGCTTCCAATTAACATGACATCTGATGATGGACCAACTTACGTAAATGCTAAGCAGTATCATGGAATCATCAGACGCCGGCAGTCACGTGCAAAAGCTGTTCTTGAGAACAAATTGATTAAACGCCGCAAGGTATGATCCTTTGTAAGGTTATCCCAAACTTTTTTTATGCTAAAACTATTGAATGAATGTGGCATAACTTTGAAACATTTTAGTTGCGATAGGGTGCTTTGACCAAATTTATGTGGAAGGTGTTATATTTTCATTTTGATGCAAAGCCTTTTGTGCTTATAAAAACAAGACTAGAAACAATAGGGGAAGGAAGAAGTGAAGAACATTTTGTTAGGTGCATGACATAGCAATTCACTTCTATTCTTATTTGTGTCAAGCAGAAATAATATGACGATGAGTTATAAGGAAAGTACCAATACATCAAGTTGGAATTATTAAATAATAATTTTATAAAAAAGGCAGTTTTATATTCAAGTCCAAGCACAAGTATTCAAGGGACTTAGCTCAGTTGGTTGAGCAGAGTGCATGGATTATTGTAATCCCTTTAATAATGAGTTTGATTTCCACATTTAAAAAAAAAATCCAAGCTCAAGTATTATATTATTACAACCAAAGATAGTGATGATAGACATCAACATGCATTTCCTTTATTCAGTCAAGAGACAAATCACTTACATTCTTTCCTCATGACAATGTTTGACTACTTGTGAAACAATTTTCTTTTCCTCTTGCCATTTTGTATAGTTATATTTGGCTTGTGTTTGTGTTGCAGCCATATATGCATGAATCACGCCATCTACATGCGATGCGGCGACCAAGAGGATGTGGTGGTCGCTTCTTGAACACAAAAACTTCTACAAACGGAAATGGTAAAAAGGAAAGTGAAGCAAGTAAAACTGGCAGCCGACAGTTGCATTCCAGTGCCTCTCAGAGTTCTGAAGTCCTGCAATCTGAGGTTGGAACTTTAAATTCATCGAAGGAAACAAATCGAAGCAGTCCAAATATCTCTGGTTCAGAGGTGACCAGCATATATTTGCGAGAAGGTTTTGATAGCTTTTCTGTCAATCCTCTTGGATCTTCTGTCCACACTTTAGCGGATATGATCGGTAGTGGACATGGTATTATCATGCCCACTAAATGGGTTGCAGCAGTACCAGATAACTGTTGCAACCTTAAAGTTTGATTAGCGAGGAGACTAGTGGGTTTGGTGCTGCAATGTTACACCACCAAACCCCATCCTTGAAAGCAACTAGATGAAGAAGTTCTGTTGCAGTTTCTTGTGTTTACTGTGATGAATTTCGTTATCGAGGCCTGCCTCTACATCTGGTTTTAGGCAAATCATTCTTGGCTGCTGCTTAGGCAACTCATCCTTGGCTCATTATATTTATAGTACTGTCTTTTTCCTTCTGCACAGGCCTGCCTTGTCATGGCTTGGTATCCTGATGCAGTAGACTGTGTCTGTTTGTGTTAAATAACATGAATTCTGGCTCCATGTGTGGCTTTTCTAGTCATGAATGCGTGACGTTTTATTCTGGATTTCTGACTTTGTGTGGAACAATGTAACATATAACTTTGGATTCTGATCTTTGTTAGAAGAATAAAAGTAGAGCATTGATCTGGACTTACCCTCCTTTGAAATATTAAATTTTTATTATCTTTTGTGTTTGAAAAATATGGACACTGTACAAGAAGTCACAAGCAGATGTGATGTCTTAATTTCAGCTTTTAGAGAAGCTCAATACTTCAAGGCATTTTACCTTTTTTTTTTCCTCCTATGAGTATTTACAGAAAAATTTATGCACATAAGACTAGTGTGAACTTATTGAAAATCATATCAATCAGTTAGCTGAATAATGAGATTGACTAATCCCCATATATTATTCTCGTTAGAAATGGATATCAAGAAATATGTTTCGTTTCCATTAGGGCAGTTCATTTTATGATCTGGTGAACTTCTTTCATTGATGGGAATAAGTGGAGGTTCGGTTGAAAGCTCTTTCATGAAGAGGATTTCTTTTATTCTGCTTTAGATGTCAAATTCAAAGCTCACATGTTCAATAGTTTTAAACTATTTAATGCCATTTATAGATTGTTTAGCATGAGATATGGAACCCATGCATGTCCATAATGTAGGAAATTATGTGGCAAGTTCCTACTTCCAAAATGTAGTTATGAACGTCAACAATATAATTGAACTAACTCCAAAATTATTAAATTCTTTATCAACCTTATTTTTTAATTAAATAAATTAATCTTTATATATTAAACATGAATCGTTATTTTGTGTGAGAGTATTTTTAGAGACTTTTCTTTGATAGGGGGTTTGTAGGGCGATGAGAACTATTAGAGAGATGGTTGGTGAATCTCTTCAACTAGCCTGATTGTGTTCTCAATCTTCTGTTGCACATATATGATATTTCAAAAGAAAATAGTCTCAGGGAATATTTTACTAACGTGTTTGTTCGGTGTTTCAAGTTACTCATAGGTGCATCCACCATATTTTATACAACATCTTCTTCCATGGGCTTGTATTTTTCAAAACTTGAAAACGATGGAGGGGGAAGGAGTATGAGTCGCACCACTTCTTAGAAAAGATAAGTAAGAGAGGTGAAGAACTTGTCGCAAAGAGAAATTATTGAATAAGAGTTCATAAGAAGATAATTTCTCCATGAGAGAGAACTAAACTTTTGGAAGAAAAAACTTAATGTTATTTCTCATAATATGCTCAAAAGTGACACCCAAGTATAAGGAAAAGAAATATATAATTTGGTTAGCTTGGGGCATAATCTATACTAACCTTAATTAAGTGTAACCAATGTTAGTTAACTTGTACTCAAACTAACTAACTCTAGACAAAGTCATATGCTTGATTACAGTTTGTTAAAACTTATTGGATTCTTGAATGAACCATGAAATGATAAAAAAATCTTAGGAGGAACTAGATTGTTGTAGCTTCTCCTTCAAGTTTTTTCCTAGATCTTTTCCTTCTTGACACTCCTCAAGTTTTTTCAAGGTTTCCAGCGGAGGAAGAAACCTTTGAAATTATCTTCAATGGTGAAGGATTCTCTTCAAGTGGTGCCACTTCAAGGAATTAAGGAAGAAGACAAACCACTTCAAATCTCACTACACTCTTAAGAAGGAGATAAAAGAATTGGAAGTAAATCAAAGTGAGATTTAAGCTTTTGAGAGAGAGAATTCTAAAAGAGAATTTTGGTCAATCTCAATAAATGCTCAAAATTTATGTACAAGTGGTTACAAGCACCTATATATAGAGTTTAGGTAGCTTGGAAAGGAAGCTAGACATCTAGGAGACACTTAGATCTAATTTCACCAATCACAAACAAGTTCTAGGAGACATGTTTATAGACATGTAGGAGACAACTAGATCTAGAAGAGCCAATGAGTAAGTGCCAAGTGTCCTCTTGTCTTTAGGTGGTTGGAGAAATAGTTCTAAGGGTGGAGATGAACTAAGGTGGGTGGCCAAGGTAACCTTGGCTTATCTTAATCGAACCCAAAACCAAGGATTTGATTTGCTTTGGTTAACCAAATGAAGATTAAGCCAAGCCAAATCAATTCCTTGGGCCAAGAGAAGAAAAATAAGTCAAATATCACTTTTGTCTATTTTCACATCTTTACTACTTTCACACCATATAGAATGGGTATTACCACACCACTAGAATGACTACTTCTACTCCAACTACCAAACTTAAGAAAACTAAAAATGTTGACCATTAATACAAGGTCAAAAAGAATACATTTCAATAAGGAACATGCCTCTAAATCTTAAAGGCATGACCTACAAACAAGGAAACATACACCATTAAATACAAGGACAAAAATAACATATACATTCAACTACTACATACAAATGAATGAAAAAAAAAAACTATACAAAGTATATACAATAAAAGACTAGGCAACTAGGAAGAGAACACATATTTTATGCTCATGGTAAACATAAGTCTAAGAAACACATTCTCTTTAGTAGCTTCTTCTAGTCTCTTGGCCATAGACCTTGTCAAAGGTCCTATGGTCTTCAAGGATGGTCCTCCATCATGATACATCTTGTCTCCTCCATGAAAGTGACATTTAACTTGCTTGTCCAAGCAAGTGAAAGTATACTCTATTGGGTCATATGTCTAATGAGATGTTCATGGGTCATTCAAGTCCAATAAATCCAAATCTTCTTTTCTTAGTTATACCTCTTAAAATACTAATTACAAGAAAATAAATTTCTATGCTACTTGACCCAAAAATATAAGGTAAAAAATTAAGAACATATTTACAAAGAAGAATATTAATAAAGAAGAAAATAAGCTATTAAAAGTAACTTAGTTTAATAAGAATTTGGGTCTTCTTTATTCAAGTCCAACCCACTTCTCTTAACTCCTTTAGAGTTTGACCCCTTGACATGATGTCATAATATAATTTTATTAATTTCTTATCAAATTTGATTTTTATTTATTATAATTATTTATTAATTAAATATTCAAGTTTTAAAAATAAATAATCAATAAATAAAAGTATTTTTTATTATAATATAAATTATTTATCATAAATCTGAAATATAATTTATATTTTAAAAAATATTTATCTATACAAATTTTGAATATTATTTATATATTTAAATAGAGTATTTATTTATATATAATTTAGTATAAATTTTAATCACCTATAATAAACATGTATGTGCATTATACAAGTTAAAATATTAGTTATCTAAAAAAGAATCTTAAATGACACTTTTGCAATAAAATGCTTTATAAAGAATGACATTATTTACGCTGCATTTGCTTAGTAGGTGCATCGCATTTATTTAGTAGGTGGATCAATGATCTATAAATTTAAAATCATTAGATCAATGAAAATAATGAATGATTTAGATTAATTTCCTTTTTTTACTTATAGTTTTAAATTTAAATTATACAATAATGTTAAATGTCTCTTTTGACCATAGAGTTGTTAACTCGTTTAAAAAGTTGTCGTCTTTGATGTAGCAATTTCCAATAATGTTTTTCTTTTTATATTTGAAAAGAATTTGTCTTGTCAAAAGAGAGGACAAAACTGTAATTGACAGTGAAAAAAATGAAGATGGTAGTTGTTTGTTATCTCATATGACCATATGCATTATCAAAAAAATGCCAAGAAAATACAAGAAGGGAGAAATATTAAATTGTGAAACAAAAGTTGGCTTAAATATTTTTTTAGGACTCAAAAAAATTTTTGTTTAACTTTTGGTCTCTTTAAAATATTTTTTTAGTCTTATTATGATTGTTTTCATTATTTTGGATGACATGTCAAGTATTTAAATACTATTTCAAGTGAATGTCACTTAATGTTTGAAATGTCATCTAAAATAATGAAAAAATCACAATTCAGACTAGAAATAAAAAAAAATAAAATTACAGGAACTAAAAGTTAAACAAAAATATTTTAAGGACAAAACACAAAAATAACTATATTTTAATGAACAAAAAGATATTTAAGCCAACAAAAGTTTTGTCAAACACTAGAGGGAGTTGGGTCAAGCAGTTACATGCACCATAGTGGTGGAGAGCATTCTCACTCAATGAGACTCATCTCCCAGAGCAAGCCTTCAATGTATGAAGGCCAAAAACCCAAGTTTTGTATTCTCGCTCAGTGATGCACAAGTCGCTTAGTAGAATGCATACTTGTGTTGAAGAAGATAAAGAGTCATTGAGCGACATCTATGTTATTGAGTGAGAGCGACTTGTAGAGAGGTGGGGATGTTGAGTCAAGTGGACTCGCTTGGTGGTTTTAGTCACAAAATGTTGTGGTCCTTAAGCAAGAGATCCTCGCCTAGCAAGAAGAACCCTAAGAAGGTTGGTTGCTCAATGCAATTGAACTTGCTTAGTAAGGAGTCATAAAGGGCTTTGGTCGCTTAACAAGTTAAGGCTTGTTGAGAAAAAAATCTTATTTTCTTAATGTGTTGTAACTTATCTAATGATTGTTGTTCGTAATGAACTAGTAATCATATGAGATAAATAGAGTTGATTTATATAATGATGTTTATCAAATGTTGTTAAGTTGTAAGTTGTTAATGAGGATGAAGTTGAGAGGACATGTTATTTATATTACGATGTTGAAAAGTTGAATGATGAGGTGTTGAATGCAGTTTAAGTTGAAAAGATGTAAGTTGTGAGTTATTGTTTAAGTTATGGTGTATGCATCTTATGCAGGTTTTTAAGTTGAAATTTACATAAAAATTAGTAGAGAGAAAAGTTATTTTAAAAATTAAAATATCTCATTATGTGAATATAAGTTGTTGTGCTCTACGAGTTCAGTGTTGAACCCTTTAGTGAATGTTGCCTCCTGATTGAAAGGTTATTTTTAAAATTGTCTCCTTTAGATTTAAAAGTTGAAACTATAATGCTTTTTAGTCACTATATAACTTCTATTTTTAATCTTTGAAAATAATTTAGTTAATTAGGTTCGGGAAGAAATAAATCTAATAAAAACCTTAATGACTTTCTTTTAAATAAAAAGGTACAATAGGTTATGTAACCTCTAAATCTCATTTGTACCTAAAAATGTAAAACTTGAAAACATAGAACATAAGATATTTTAAATAATTTATGCAACATTTGAAATTATAAATTCTCAT